ACTAAATTCTCTATATAAATTTTGATGTTGATCCAATGTCTTGTTTTGAAAATAGATGCAGTTATAAGTTGGATTCGTCTTAGGAATTGGTTGAGATGCAGGTGAAATATTTACTCCAGATTTTGAAGATGTTTGTTCCTCCAATGCGTTAGAAATATTAATATATGCTGACTCAGAATTTTTCTTATCACTTTCTGAACTGAGATCAGGAAGTGACAATTCAGAATTTTTTTCATTACTTGGTAAACCATCTTTTAGTAGAGTATAGGTGGACAGTTCTATTTTAATGCTATAGTCGACTAGCATATTATCTATAATATACTAAATCTCCTTATTCGTTATTTTTGAGATATTGCTAACAGAAAAAGAATGAATTCAATAAATTTTATCCATACCTATTGTGTCAAAGAGCTTCCAGAGTTTCTTGGCCTGCTTGATTCTTTTCTATAAAAGTGCATCAGAAGTATCTGCAGGAAGCTGAGCTCTAACTTTTATATTTAAAACTTTACTAATAGTATTGAATTCCAGATCGACTTGTCTCTTAGATGCTATTTCACCTCGTCTCTAAATCAGAGCTTTTCCAAATTGACAGTAATATATAATAGCTTCTTGGACCGCACGATCAGCAAAATCCTTAGTATTGTGAAGTTTTTCATATAAATACACAAAGCTCGAGAAATCTGCCTGCTTGCATGGGCTTGAAGTTAAAGATAGTGTAACCAGTTGTTGCTTGGCTAGGTCAGTATCACTCTGTATCAGGTTTGAAGACACTTTCTGAATAAATTTTTCTCTCTGCTTTTTCTTTTGTAGAGATCTTTTATTATCTGAAGTTAAGTCTTGTTTTTGAAACTTTTCTTCCCACTTTCTCAACCTTATCTCATCACTAATACTCTTCTTCTATACTGAGTCTAAGAATTCATCAATCTTTCTATCTTCTTCACAAGGTGAAGGGCTGGCATTACTAGGATGATCTACAAAGAGGTTAGGTACATTATTAACTTCCTTGGGAGAGATATCTTGGGTTTGTTTGTTCTCCTTATTGTCATCCTTTAATTTCAATACTTCAGCTTTAAGCTCTGCAATTGTATCATCACATCTAGCATTCTTGCTAGCAATATCTAACCTACTCTCCTCCAACTCTTTGATTCTACTTCTGAATTTGGTTCTCAGCTTCATATTCTTATCCTTAAGCTTGGCATTTCTTGCCTCAAGCTCAATAATCTTAGCCATAAGTCTGGCATTTTCTTCTTTAAGTGAACTAATATCCTCAGACTGCATATTCGATAATAATTTTTATGTACTATATATAAGTATTCAAAATCAGTTAAAAATATAATCACATGTTTTTCCTGAACTTGGTTCAGGAAGTTTGCCAAGAAAAATTTTAAAAATTCTAGATCATATACAAGTAATGTATATTAATAATAATACAATAAATAAATTCACTCAATATACATATATAAAAGTAAACTAATTATGTATGCAATAAAATCGGCCACCAGCAAGCTTTATTAATGTAAAAAATAAAATATACAATCTATGCTCTATATAAAGTGGATTTATAACATTATTTTTTCGTTCTTTTTTGACTGTTTATAATGCCTCGCAAATTTACAATGAGTCCATTCTAAAAATTATAAATTTCTTTAATATTAGAAACATTAAATGATAAACATACATTTTAGTAGAGTTAAAGGAATGCGTACTTGTAAAACTAATAACGTATAAACGACCTTTTCCACTTCTTCAGTTATGTCTTCGTCCAGGTGTATTTTTGCTTTAATAATAGGGAAATAATATTTTACACTTTTTTCTTTTATCAATCTATGGATTTTAAGGTACTTACCCACGATATTAACAGCAAACCCTATATAATTTTTATAAAAATTTTCTTTCGAATATTTCTTTACAAGTTCCTTGAATCCAGCTAAACAGAATTGCGTTAATTTATTATGATCATGAAGAATCTTATCTTTATTAGCACTATATTTTCCACTTTCGAAGAAAATAATTTCTTCTCATTTCTGACAAAGACAAGCACGAATCATAATTTTGGGTTTATTGCTTCTCGATCTGGTTTTTTGTTGAATTTTTCAGTTCTTATTAGCTATACTCTGCCATTCAGACTTGGTAACTTCAACATCAAAATCTACGGGTAGGTGATATATAGTCATATCTAATAAACAGGAGATAATCTCTACTAACGCTAATGTGTTTTCTGAACCCCTGAAAACTCTTTAAAGCATATTTAGTTTAATTTCTTGCAAAAGGACATCAGTAATTCTGCTTGCTATGTGTTCTCTAACATGATTGGCTTCGATCCATTGATCATGTATCACAGTTTCTCTTGAGCACAACACAAACTTCCTCAATTTCTGAACTTCGTTTCTTTTTGATATAAAATTATAACAAATATTCTTGACTATAACATCTTTATCTAGGTTTTTTATATCAGCTTTCTTTCCCTATTAAGATTAATATCTAATAAGTATTTTTCTTATACACACAATTCACATATAAGCTTTATCTTTACTAATTGTATCTTGATTGTTTTCTAGAATCTAAAAAAAACAAATTTTTTAAAAAAGTATATCAATATTAATTATACATATTTTAATATTAATTTTTTAATTTACTTTATCAAAAACAGGCTTTAATCTTATAATTGAAGATGTAGTTTCAAAAACAAAAGCCTATCTTGTTTTGACATATTTTTCTAAACCACTACTATCTATTTTTATACTTTTTATATTATTATGAAGAAGCTTGCATGCTTTATGTGACTTAGTAAAAAATTAAACAACCTGATTTGCTTGTTTTAAAACCTGATTGACAGACTTGATTTTAACTATATTACTTGTAATAAGATTCAATACATGGGTAATACATCTGATATTCTAAATATGAGAATAATTGAACATAGTAATTTCACAAGCAATGCAAGCATTACTTCCATTATCAGTTACACAAGCAACAAAATTTTTAAAACCAATTTTATCAACAATATTAGAAATTTTAAAAGCAAGAAATTCACTGGTTTGTATTGTATCAGAAAAATCTAAGATAGAATATAAATATTCTTTTCTATCAGAGGTAGAAACAATAAAATTATATAATGAATTATTGATTGGGCTTGACCATCCGTCAAGTACTATTTGTTAAAAAAATAATAACAATAAATATAATATACTGTACAATATATTAATTTTTTTATATTTAGATTTTTTTTACCTAAAGTTAGATTATATGCTTTGTTAAGTAAATTATCAATTCGTATAGTTATACAAGCAGCCTTCTCATCAAGTAGTCATTTGGCTAAGGTAATTCTTCTAGGAGAAAAATATTCAAGCAAATAAAAAAGATCTTGAACAAATGGATTATCAATTACAGAAAATGAAATTTTAGTACAAACAAAAGCTTTAAGTAATGCTTTGTTAATTTCATTAATTTTTTCACTTAACATAGATTTGGAACGTGAATATAAGATCTTAGATCTTATTGATGATAATAATAATGATATACTTTTGTTATCACTATTATTATTATTCACTTTGTCATTTTGTCTTGCTACTTGAATTAATCAATGCTGCTTTATGTTGTCAGGAACATTGCCTTTACAATGTAACACTAGATGTGCCTTCAAAGTTGTAGGCCTTCCTCGTTGCCATTTTCTCTTAGTGTAGTATCAACACTTTGCACTATAATAACCTTTACCATTAGATTCCCCAGTATCAAATTCATTCCAAATAAGAGCTTTTGGATATCTGCCCTTGTTAACATAGTTATAAGTTTGAATCCTTGCTTTTCTATTTAAGAATATGTTGTATCTTACAAATAGTAATACAGAATCTCCGTATATAATATCTTGAGCAACTTCAGTAATAATAAAATCATTATATATAATTTTTTTTTAGTAAGTTCTAGCAAAAAGCCCTGATTATATATTATCAAAACACTTGCTATATATACTCTTTTTTGGCAAGATCTACTCAAGAAAAAGTCTTCATGTTTTTAAATAATTGTACAGATAAACTGGTAAGATTATTATAATTTATAATTATAAACCATAATTATAATTGTAATAGTACTATTAATAGTATAGTAAGATTTTATTTTTATAAAAGATTATTCAAAATACATTAAACCTTTGAAAATTTTTTTATTTTTGAGTACTTCGACCTATATTTACTAACTACTATTTGTAATTTTCAGCATTTTTTCTTTTTTTTTGCTATTAGATTTTTTACTAGCTAGATTAATTGATAACCGTAAACATTAAAGACCACAACAAAAGAATTTGTCAATCTTTTCTAAATCAGAGAACTATTTATTATATGTTAAAGTATTTGCATTTAGATTATGTTCGAATATGTCTGAACAAACAACAAATAAATTCATTTTTTTGCAATTTGTAATAATCTATACTAATAATGTGCTATTTTTAGATTTCTTCAAAATATCCGTGTTTTCCTGAGATATTCTTTGCATCTTATGCATCTCTTTGTGGTTAATGCAGTAATGTTAGGATGAAAAAGGCCATATTATAAAACCATTCTAACAGCTCTTTAACTTACCTTTAACATTTGCATTAAGATTGTTATGTTATATAATAATTTTCATGAAAGAATTACTCAACATTGAAAAATATAGTATAGTAGTTGAGAAATTTTACCTCTTAATTGATCTCATTATTATTTGGCACTAGGCTCTTGATGTATGAACTAGACGAATCTTATAATTGTTAATAAAGAACTCATAGAATTCTATTACTTTACCTTCATAGTTATATTCATGATATGCATTTACCTAATAGAACAAATTTAAAATTAACCATAGCTGCCGCGGACCGGCAGATCCTCGATTTTGATTGGCTAACGGCCAAGGATCTTCAAAATTTTGGCCCACATTACAAAATTGTTTACTAATTTCCGACCAAATTTACCTTTTTAATTTTTTCATTAAGAATTTTTTAAAAATAAGCCCGCATTATGGTAAGATTGGCCCAGGAAAATTTTTCACTTAATAGGCGGCTATGATTTCTTTAGTAAAGTTATGAGTAATTTCGGCCTTTTTTTTGGCCGTCGCTCTTAGCTAATCAAATTCGAGAATCTGCCGGTCCAATTTTATTGCGCCAGCTATGGTTAATTCTTTAAATGAACGACGCCACTTCGAAGGTCATATTTTAATTATATATATAGATAGATTAAATTAATTAGTATAAACGCATTATAACTAAGCATCATCATGAGAATTAATTTCGGGTTCCTTTAAGAACCCTATCAGGAACGGTATCCTCTCAGAAACAGTACCAACGATCTATCAGGAATGGTATTTTTGCGCCGGGCATATTATATCGATCATGAGTCAGAGAAATTTTAATGCTGGCTGAATTAAACGGTTAACAATTAAATGGGTAAGGAAATTTTAAACGTTCCAATCCCTATGTACATTAAATAGACCATTATTGTTATTGAACAGTTTTAATACAGAACAGTTCACAATTATCCATAAATATAGAGAATTAGGTTATATACTAAAAAAAATAGCTATATATATAGTTTTTATACCATAAAAAGGGGTCGTCTAAAGCGGAGCAGAATCATGTTATATTTGACCAATCAAATTATAGAATTTTGATGATCGCTGGCGAAGCAAAACAAGAAAAAAAAGCGAAAAACCTGAAAAATACAAAAAATGGCAGTCTAAACCTACCTCGGTTACGTTAAGCAAAAATGACGGGAAGGCAATTTTGCATATGTATAAACAAAAAAATTCTAGTTTAACCTTAATTTAAGAACTTTACCCGAAAGTTAATTCAATAAAATATACATTATAAGAATTTACTCCGCTTTAGACTAATTTGGCAGACTGCTGTTATATTAAAGATCGTATTGGAAATTTGTAATCCAAATTTGGGAGTGGCGCCACGTGGTTATCAAAATCGATAAAAAAAATTTTCGCGTTAGATAAAACTCTTATACATAATGTATGATTTTATGAGTTATTGTCTTCGCCGGTACTTTAAAACGATCGGTTGGAATGATGATAACCAATACTCAAACTTATGCTCTGCTTCCCGAGGTGAGTTTTAGTACAGTGTTGGCACTGGACTTATGTCCAGTCTGCTGGACTACTTGGTCCATTTCAGTTCTAGTTCGTCAGTTTTAAGTAACTGAACAGTTCAGTTCTATCCAATTTAGTCGGTGCAATCCGGCTTAATTCAGTCCATTAGTCAGTAATAAGTATATACAATTTGTTGCTATAAAAAGATTTTTTTTGGTCAAGTGACAACACTGTAAACTTTAGTACTATGCTGAATGTACCGGTTAATAAAAAAGATGTCCTTTTTTTTTAACATTAATTCAGCCATCCTAGATTTTCAAACACCACGTGGGTTTACCTTCGAAATATCTAAAATTCAGTCACCCATGTTCAATTCTTCATATTCGATGAATGCCTCTCCAACACTTAATGGATCGATAAGTTATCTTTTTACTTCCCGTCCATTGGTGATCGAACCGAGTTTTCAATTGAACTTTGTAGAAATGATTGATAGATTTCATCTTGACCCTCTTGCACGGGCCAACCGAGTGGATAATATGAAAGGCAATATCAATAATGAAGAAATCAAGCCAGTAAACGGTAACTTATAAATATTTAAAATGGTGATAAGCTAGTATCTTATGTTACTTTTATTTTATTACTATTTTTTTTCAGATTACTTGCTTTATGGTCGCTTATATATTCCAACTGGCCGACTTGAAGCTATATACTCAAGAAGGCTTTCTCCATGGATGCAATGTGTCATTACAGGTGTTAGTGAACCTAGAATGAAAGCAGCCTCACATGTGATTATTATTTTGAGTGCCTTCTTTTAGCATGTTTGTTTGCATTAAATTATATATGAATTGAATTCCAACTTCAGTGTACAGGTGAGCTCCAATATGACGCCGGTAAATGGTGTACCGAAGTTTCATACACAACAGATGGCGAATTGTTTGGTTTAAGGGGACTTTATAATTTATCAAGTCATGGATCAGAAGGAAATATAGAACATGGGGAGGTGTTTACAAATAAAAAAGAAGTTACGATAAATGATGTTAAAGCATCGGTTGTTGAAAGGAATGCATTTGATGAACCATCGAATTCCGATGATGATGATGTAGTAGAAGCATTAAAAGGCGAATGGTCAATTGGTGCTGAATTATACTATGGAATCCGAGAAAAAAGTGGGGGAGGTTTGTATATTAAATAATCATTTTATTCATTTACTTTCTGCGCGTTAAAATAATTTTATGAAATCTATATTTTAAGTATCGGCCGGGATTCGTTATCGGACTCTTCCACAATTCTCAGCGCAATCACCACTTACGGTAACCTATCTATTTAATCCTATTATGGGACATATGTCTGCTGCCTTTGCTGCTCAGATATCTGAAGATTTAGCTTTGTGTCCACGATATGAATTCAATATATATAGTTACGAGAGTGATTTAACAATCGGAGCTGAATGGTGGCAAAGAGAGAGTTTCGATGATGTAAATGCTGTGTCAAATGAAAGTCCTGAACTCAAAGGAGATGTTCAAGGTGTAATCAAAGCCTCAATCAGTACTGGAAAGGTGATTTTCCCAAACTCACCCAATTACAATTTTTCCATTGTAGTAATAATATTGTATTCCCATGAATGCATATAATATTTTAGGGAATTACGCTTTTGTGGGAAGGACGATACAGAAAAACTTTATTTGGCTTAGGTCTAGTGACGAACTTAAAATCGGGATTCTCACCAATACAGTCAATTGGTTTTCAATTTCAATATTTCTCGTGATTCATTCACTTTTTTTTTAGAAGTAATTGTAACTACTATTTGCAATTACTTCCACATAAAAAATGAATGAATCGCGTGAAATATTGGAGTTGTAAACCAACTGGCCGTATTGGAGAGAATAAGTGACTTTATTCCATGGGTACCATATAACAACCCGTGTTTTTTTGGCAAGGTTATTTTCATCGGTCTATATTAAAATCACATGATTTTCATATAGACCGATATGACAACTTTCTCAAAATTGGTCTTATGTTAAAATCACTAGAAACCTTATTTGTAAAAAAAACATTTTTCATTCGGTTAATTCAATTTGTTCAAATAACAAGTAAGTTTTACATAATTGTTCAAATAAATAAAAAAAAAAATTATTTAAATGTTAAAAAAAAAAAAAAACACACATATTAAAAGTGATAATGTGAAATCTTTAATGTCTTGGTAAGTTACAGGCAAAAAACGATTAGGAATATTGTTTAAAGCTGGTCTTAATTGTGCTGGAGGTTTTGCAGAAGAAAGCCTAGGAATATGTGATGTTTTTTTTTTTTTTTTTGTATTTGAGAACCATGAGAACATAGGTCTTGTGATTCTTTATAAGGCACCTTAAATGGTGTATATATTTTTTTTGAATTATGCTGTGATTATAGTGGTGGCCTTTTTGATAGTACCAATGATTTTCTTGGCAATGATTTATTTTATGTTTCTGGTGATGATTCAGTTGTTGTTTCTGGCAATGATTCATTTGTTCCTGGTAATAATTTATATAATAGTTTTAGTGATGATTTATACAATGGTTGTAGATTTTTTTTATGTGGAGGTTTTAAAAAACAAGCTGCTAATTAAAATAGACAAATGTGCAATAATGAAAATTTTAATTTAAAAATATAATTATTTTTATTATATTCTTTCTTAAAGTCTAAATAGTTTTTTGCATCTCTGAAAAATAAGTAAACTTTTTAGAAGAAATATTGTCAAAATCTAGAGGGATTAATAATAATGTATTCCTAAGCCTCTGGTTATTATTTGGACTATTATAAGCCCTGATTCCTTCTTTATAGTAAGATTTTTCTAAGTGTACTTCCTCAGAACTATAGTAAAAAAAAAAAAAAAGTAAAATGTGTACTTAAAGAGAGTGTATATCTATAGAGAACAAAATATATAGTGTTCTTATAAGTTGAAGCTAAGCTATACTGTATATTTAAAGAAAATTTATATAAGGTATACACTTATAGAGTATGTATTTAGAAAGGTCTTACTATACTGTGATGTTTAAAAAACACTATATATTTATCTTCTAGAAATATCCAAGTTCTTAAGCTATTGAATTGCAGTATAATATAGTAAATAGTTGCAGATTTTGACTATTGTCAAGGTTGATACTTGTAAGTTTTGCAATTTTTAGCATCATAATGTTTAACTTATTTATTTCTATTTATGATTTTTTAAATCAAACCCTCTTATTTATATCTGTAAAAAAAAAAATTAATAAAAATAGTATTACAAAATTGAAATCAAAAAACAGTATTTTAAACTTTTTGCTACCTATATTTTTTTCAAGAAAAATAAATTACAAGTATTAACAGAATAAAAAAAAATCAAATACAGAATATTTTTAATTAGTTTAAAGCAATTATTTACTTAATTTGAAAGAATAAAGATTTTTCAAACAGAACTTTTTTCATATTTGTTTTATTTTAAAGTTCTACACTAATTGTTTTTTTTATAGTTAAATATAAAATAAAGCCTATTATTATCTTAATTAAAAAATATTTTTGAATTTAATTCTTTTAGTATTACTACTATAAAGATTATAGAGAAGTAACAACCAAAAAAATACTTGTTGTATTAATTATTTATTAGTTCTAACTTGCATTGTTTTATAATTAAGTATATTAAAAATTTTTTTAGCTATTAATAGTAAAGCTTGATTTATTTTTTTCAAATTTTTGTTTTGCAATTTTTTTATTTACTATTAAGTGTTTTTAATGTCTTATTAAAATAGTATGAATTCTACAACTTATATAGTTTAATTTTGCTAAATTCTTTTTAAATAATAGGCTATAAAAGTATAGCAGTTATGAATACTTTTTGTTTTGTATTTAGTTATTTTAGTTAGATAAGAAACTTGTACAAAAAGTTATCTAATTCTACTAATAATTATATTTTCTTAATTTTTTTTTTATATTTTATAATTTTGCAGAACTTGTTAATAGAGTATAGTTATTTAAAAATATACTTGCTTGTATTTTATATATAAAAGCTTTTGCAATTCAAGAAATTCTGCTTCAGTTAGTGCAATATTACTATTTTTTGTTCTTAATTTTTAAAAAAAAAAAATTAAAAAATTGATAATAATAGAAAAAAAGAAGATTAATTTAATTACTAAAATAAAAAGTCAAAATTCTTTTTATAGAAAAAGTTTAAAATACTAACTAAAAATTTAATAAATTATATAATTATATAGGTTATATATCATGTTTATTAAATAACAAGAAAGTTTCTAGGTTAGATATTTATATTGTTACTATAGTACTTGATAGATACAAGTAAGTTAATTTATTCACTATATAATATAAAAAAAAACCTCTAAAAACTTTATATATTATTAATAATTATTTAATGACAAAAATTCTTTTTTTTTTTTTGGTATAAAGATAAGGTCTTGCTTATATTTTTATTAAATTATTTATAAAAGTAACTAGATATAAATCTATACAATTAATATTTTTTTTTTTACTTTTAAGGTAACCTCTTTGGCTGAAAACTGTTTTATTAAGTATTTAAAACTTATTACAATTATGATAAAAGTACAACTAGCCACATGTGCATTTTTAGTGTCTAATTTAAGTAGTTTGCCCAAAGATTTCACACTATTTGCTATACCTGCAACCTAACTATGGAGTTATCTATTTAAACTTTCTAGTCATAACCCAAAGCTCTCATACCTAACCCAGGTATAACTCACTATTTATATATATATTTTGCAATATCTCTAGCTTTTAGCACCTACTTTAGACCTCCTTTCAGCTAATCTTTAAGATAAACCTAGCACCACATATCATATTCTATATATAGTACATGCTTGTTTAATAATATTCATTTTAATTAGTATATATTGTCTGCTGCTATTGTATTCATATTTTATGCTACCTTTTGAAATGCTGCTATAATACAATCTGTATCTCAAGCACAATCTTTCTAATTAGTTCTCCTATTATTTACTTCTCACTCTTTGTAAGGTTTATGACCCTAGTACTTATATTTGTATTCTATACTTTGGTTTTAGGTTTTTTAATTAAGATAGCCCAGGAGATTAGTTTGTCCAGACTCGAGGATCCCAATTTCAGATTTAAAGATCTCTCAATTCTTGGTACAAGCTTTTGTAATACAAGTTCTTTTTTTCTGAGATCTTATTTTAGAATTTTTTACTAGATATCCAGTATTGAAGTAACTAATAAATATATATCTAGTGTAGCTCTAATAACCCTGGTAGCCTGGTTGGTAGATTCTTTTGCTTAAAGATCTTTGTCACCTGAATTTTCATTTCTAAACTGCTTCTATAACACTGTCAAAAGCTGCTAATATTTACTTAGAACTTTCCTACAACTTGAAATTTTTCAAGCCAGTTTCAGATCTTTAGATTCTGTGTATAGGTACCTTTAACATTTTTTATTTTTTAGAAGGCTTATTATAGATTTGTACCATCTATACTAGTTTGCATTCTTTTGTACAATAATATGAATATTTCTGGAAGCTTTTAATATCTAAGAGCATTGATGTGATCCTAATAACAAGTTATAAACCCAATCTAATTTGAAAGATCTGTTACTATAACACAGATATTTTTGTTCAAAATATCACTAGTAGATTTGAACTTGGTACTATAGTCAAGCTAGCTTGAGAGGTATAACAACTCTACTACTTTATTATATCAGCAAAATATATAAATATAATTTTATATAAGAAATTACAGATCGTAATATTGCACAATAATTATAATTAATACACAATAATTATAATTAATGCACAATATTGACAATAATCAAAAATATAATATTATGCAAAAATATTATGAAATATTACATAATATGGGCTAGGTGCTGAGAAAAGAGACCAAATTGACTATTTTTTCAAAAAATATTTTTTTATATAAATCAATTTAGAATAAAATTAGAATTATTTTTTACTTAAGATACAAAAGTAGTTGTATTAATAAAATTTTGTTATATTGCTCTTTAAAGTTTATATTTTCTTATGATTTATTATAAGATTTACAACATAAAAATTGATTTTCTGAAGATCTTTTGTTTTGTTAATTTGGTCCCTTTTCTCAGCACCTAGCCTATATATATAATTATTATTTGCGAAAAAAAACAATTTCAAATATAAACTGGCAAAACTTTTTCCATTAATGGCTAACTCAGCAAAGCCTAATTATTGAATTGCGCAAAAAATTACAACAATTATACCCACCTCAATATGTGTTTAGTGAACGTGAATTATGCGCTTGGAGAACTATGCTGAAAGTGAGTGGATATACAAATATTTCACCCTTTGAAAAAGGCCAATCAGAAGTAAATTCATAATACAAGTAACTCTTGATATAAGAAAACCACTGGGTCCAGACAAAATCTTTCTTATATTGAAAGCTTTTGTTAAAAATTTTCAATTAGGACTAGTAAAATATTTCTTAGTGCTTCAATCACAATCTGACTAATTCGGATTAATTCAATAATTCAAATTAAATATGGATATTCTTATCCATCAATCCAATTAGTCGAATTGTGATCGAAGCACTTTTGAATTTGTGAAATTGATGAAATGAATAAATAAGAAATAAAAATAATAAAATTGTAAAATTAGAAATAGCAAAATTGTAAAATTAGTAAAATTAATTTCACATCTGCTATTTTTACTATTTCACCAATTTCACTATTTCAACAATACTGATTGGTGAAATAGTGAAATTATTTTACCACCCAAGATTAATTTCATTAGCACTTTAA